TATAAGCTCAAGATTCTAAAGGATTCTTTGTGTATAATTGTTAGAGCGATTAGGGATAATAAAAAGGACAAAAAGAATGGAGTCTCACAGTCTGGCAATCAGAGTCATTCCCCCCAACCCTTCAGGCATACAGTCCTATTCAGCAGTAAAGTCTGACGTAATTGGATTGCAACTATCGCTTTCCAAAAGGTAAGAGTATTACCATAATTATTTAGTATGGTTTATTCACACAGTTAAAAAATGTACTGTAATCTGCCCGTGGGACTAGGTGATTTATGTGAGCATATGTTTGTTATATCGGGTTCAGCAGGACTTTTTAAAGTTATAAATCACTCACAAATGAGCTCACAGTGATTTTAGAGTATTATAATGACAGAACTAATTTAGACAATATCAAGGTACTGTAAATTCACAAAGTTGATTGAAGCATTAGAGAAGACAGTAAGTAATACAACACAATTGGAATGTGACAGAAGCACAGCGTAAGTTCCATGTCTGTCTTAATTTTCACAAGTGTAGCCATTACTTGTTTCTTTGCTTTTCAAAATATGTCTAGCAACATCCAAGAGGGTTTATGAAAAATGTCAACAAACTCAGCTTAACCACCTCCACTCCTGGTTAAGTAGGTGTGTAATAAAACTCTTCTGTTAGCCAGAAGGACTCTTACAGTAGTTCGATTTCTTTTCAAATCTGACCTCCAGCTAGCATACAAACAACAATTGTGATTAAATGCACCTAGTACGTTACTAATGTTTAATATTATTTTGTCTTCCCAACAGTCCTTAAATTCACAGTGTATTATTTCTATTATCTAATAAATTAAACACCCTTTTCCCAGATTTTTGCATTGTGTTATGAGATAAATTTGATGAGGTGCTGAGCACCAGTACATCAGCAGTTTTCTGTACGGTCAGCATTAGTTGATGGCCCACGCGTTTCAGGCTTGAGCCTTGGTAGCTAAGTACAGGTCAGCAGTTTGAAAGGGAAAGCAACGTTCAGGGTTGGGCAAAGTGATTTGTGAAAAAAGAAAAGCCATTACTGACCTTCACTAAAATCTATGTCTGCCTTAAGATAAACCTGATCCTGCTAATAGATGGAGTACTAGCACCAGCTGGAGGGGGCTGGTGGATAGTGTGTCATAGTCCCTAAGCTGCATACTCTACTGCTTTTGCGCTCAAGAGCTTTCCCGTATGCTCTTTGGGGCATGTCAGTCTGTATTTGTATGCTAACCAGTACACTGGGGTCCCAATAATTGTATCTGTTGGGTCAGTATTATCCTAGTTGTCCTTACTATTATTGGATATCGCTGTATTGTGCAGCTTCATATCAAACAGAAAATTCCAAATTGCCAGAGATCCAGGTGTGTGGAATTCTGTAAGCACTAAGTGCATTTGATAAAGGCACCAAGATTTTAAGATTTTTAAGACAGATCTTCAGCTAGCATAAAGGCTGTTTTAGGGATGTCACAAGCCAGTTTTACTTCATATTTTATAATAAGCAAAGAAACAAATCTATTGTGTACGCTTTCCTAGCTTTTACCTGCTTTTGGAATGCCTGGCTCTGTTTTAGAGGAAGTAAGATCTGCATCTGATTTGCTTTGGCAAATATAAGCAGGTTCATTATTCAAACTCCAAAAGGAGCTGTAAAGGTTTAAATTACACACAATAAACATTTCAAACTTTACTTCTTGCTTTAGGCGTATGCACAGAACATTTACAACCAAGCACATTATCTTTTCTCGCAAATAATTCCTAGGAATATAAATTCCAGTGCAGTGGTTGTCATATATTTTATGTTCTGTGCATAGCAATCTTGGCAAAGTGATTTTGTTAGAAGAAATAAACCAACTACTCATGCCTGGGATGAACATGAAAAGAAAACGGCAGTAAGTCTGAGCATTTGTCTTTGTTACTCAGGGTGTTTCAATTTTTTTCTCCTGTGAAGATGATGATCAAATCGGCTATGCTACAGAGTGCCTCTGAGCAATATGTACACCCTGAATGAATAAACAGCTCCATTGGAAAACATGAAAGCGAGGTGGCTGCGTACTGCCTGTCTTTTTGCTTCCATACAACAGCTGTAAAATATTTGGTTGAGCATCCTGAAGTTCTTACTTTCCAGAGCAAATAAGAGTTGCTTGGCACAGACAGGTGGAGAAGGGCAGGAGCATGCTTCAGAATGAATACAGTCATTCTGGATACAGGGGCAATGCCATTAGTGAGAAGCCAGAAGGGACAGACTTCCTAACATGGAAGGTGGCGGCTTCTGTACAAGGAAGGAAGAGAAGAAGAGATACCAACAAAGCGGGGTAACACAGCAGTCGTAGCTCCGGGGAGAGAAGACAGACGTGGGAAGTGCAGAGCTGGCCGAATGCATTTTTTTTTAACTACTGGTCTATTGACCTACATACACGTGCCTACAGCAGTCACTTTGTGGTAGAAGCAATTAATTGAAAGAAATACCTGCTATTTAAATATTCCTGTTAGCATGGTTGAAAAGGAGGCAAAATCTGCTGATGAACAACTCGACCCAGTACTCCCAGCCTATGCCTCTGTTTGTCCCATTGTCGGTTACAAAATTCTCAGAGAGTACCTGGGGTTTGTAGACAGGGCAGAAATTAAGGATGTATTTCATCTGAGATGTCATTATAGAAATGCCTAGTAATCTCTGCTGCCATTCTCTTGTAGAATTGTAATGTAATCAGTTGGCACCTTTACCATTCTTACTGCTCTTGTTTTGTGTATAGCTGGCTGTAGGACAAGAAAAAAATCAATAGGGCATACCAAGGAAAATGACGCATTATTTAGAAAATAGCAAATTATGCCCTATAGGGAGGAAGAAATGGAAGATTATGTCTTTTTTGGAGCCAACATGTGCAAACGCAGGTTACTGTTTTTGTTAAGATGCACTTTAGCTATCTCACAGAAGATTGAGTGCACAGTCTGTGCTGTATCCAGCAAGTTGTACTGTTTAGACAAACCAAGTGATTTAAAATATGGTTCACATCAGACTGGCCAATATTGTCAGCTGTAGTAAGCGTATCTTGTCAGCACCACCAGATTTAAACATGCCTAAATGGCCAGGTATTTACATATTATTTTTACATATTAAGAAGCTGATGAAGGCATAGGAATAAAGGGGGGGTAGGGGGAGTGTGTTTGTTTTGGGGTTTTGCCCAAGCATAAGATTATAGGTTGGGGCAAGAACAGTGAGTGCTGCTATAGTTACATTAGTAAACAGAAAGACCAACATCTGCACCAAATGCTGGTTTGGACCAGCTCTGGTCTGTCCTATGGACTACGTAACATTAACAGGAGGGGCGCATTATGCGTCCATCTCCTGGTTTAGTTGCCTTCCAAAAAGAACACAGTTTGCATTTGAGATGTGAACCAAAGTGGTGAGGATCAAGAGATTCACTCCAAAAGTCCACTCCTGATAAAAAACAAAATGCTAATGTAAGTACATGCTGTATAAATTTAAAGAAGTTAACTGAACTAGCATCTCGCAGGAACGACAGGGGCCTCTGTTTACAGGTGCTTTGAGAAAGGGAGTTACTTTAAATGAAGAATTTTTACTTCACAGAAAATATTCTGAAGTTTTGTTTTCATTGAGAAACAACTTGGAACATTCTTCAAAAAGGTATTTTAAAGGGTTATTTTCATTATTTAGGAAATGCTAGCATTCTAAATACTTTTTCACAGGGTTTTTTTCCGAGTGTTGGATATTTTTACTCTTTACACTATATATCTAAGTACATAAAAATGAAATTTGTGTTTTGAGAGGGATCAGCATTAGTTTTCGATTCAAGTGGTCTTCTACTTCACTAGAATTTCCAGGACTGAATTTAGTAAGATTTTATCTGAACTATGTTATATTATCAAATAAAGAGTCTTCTTTCTTGTTGCAGCTGTCCATTTAAATATTTTGTGAAAAGGAAAAGGCTTTACGAATAAGGTAGAAAAAAAGAGTAGTTTTAATCAAAACTGAGTACTGTGGCAGTAACAGTCTTCCTGATAAGCTGCAAGATACACAGATGATTTAACTATAACTACTATATTTCATACTTTAATACGTTATACTTCAGGCTTTGCCCCATCTTAAGATTTCCAATGACAATGATAAATAGTCCTTCACTGCAACATGCTTTATGTAATAAAGCAAAATGACTAGTCTGTTCTAGAACATACCCAATAAAACACTAAGGCTGGTAATCTTACGAGTGTTACTCATTCACTGCTGCAGTTCAAGTTTCAGGCCAGCTTTTCTGCCCAGCTGGGTGTCATGGGAGGCAGGAACCTCTGGGCTACAGCAGGGTTCTATTTCACATCTCTGGGACTTCTGATCAAATCAGTACAAAGTTCCCACTCGCTCCTATTAAGAGCTTTATTCAAGAATAGCGTACACATCAAACGGTTTGGGTACTAAAAACAGAAATAGGCATCCAGACAAGAATCTGAAACAGGCAGTAAAATATATACTTTAAACAGACCAAAAGAAAAACAACAATTTACACATATGAAAATGAGCGGTAACACTGGAGAGTACAAGATGGTAAAAATTAAGATAGTGACCTGTGGCACAAGTAACTGAAGTAATTGCTAAGCTCCAGTGCGTTATTTTGGTAGGTTTGTGGTATTCCAACCACATACAAACCTGAAAGACACCTTCTATGCTTTTGGAAGAGAAACTTAAATTAGAGGAAGTACTTTATTTTGAATATCTTCCTGGGGTAGCTAAATAGACATCATTACATCATTAAGCTACTTGCTACTGGATCAAAATTTACATGTCTGGAGACATTCAGTTAAGGAAGTAGTTGATTATACTGTTGTTCGAAGAATCATCCAAAATGTCTCTAGACGACAGTGGACTAAAATACTATTTTCATTATTTTTCTTTATTTAGAAATTAGAAGACGACATGGATAAATACATACTTTCCCAATACAGGAAGGAAAGAAAAAAGTGCTCTACAGCTAGAAAGGGAAGTATAAGCTAGTTTTATGCAGAGTATTTATAAGATAAAGCAGTGAAAGCTTTTCTGATGTTGGCAACAAATGCAGAAAAATTGTTAGTTTCTCTCACTTTGAGCTGGAGCTCTGCTATACAGTCCAGAGGAGGAGTACAGGAAGTCACTAAAATGACACAAATTTCCAAAAGATTAGACAATTATAAAAAAATGCAGTATCAGTTTTTCCATGCTTATGAAATACAAATGTAGTTTGTTATCTTTGTATGTTTTAGCTTCATCCAGTATTATTTTTGAGTAACCTATCAAATCATTTTCTTCCAGCAAAGACAAAGCTTCAAAGAACACACAATTTTAATTTTTTTTTTTATTTCCAGACCTCCCACTCAGTGCTGTGCTCCTGCTTGAATTGTTACAGCAATTTTCAGTAGCCCATAGCCTGCTCAAAAATTGAAAACACATTCCTAAACATTTCTGTTGCTCTGCAGGCAGGCGGACTGAAAACTGATGTAGCCCAGCATGTGATAAAATTTTAACTTCAGCACGGTTTAGATTTCAATTAGTAAAACCAGGAATCTATTCAGTCCGTACCTAGAGGCAGAGCAGAGCAGCAGTAGCATCTGTCTAGAAGCTACTCAACACAGTACTCAAATTACTGCTCCTGTTCTTCATAACTGAAGTAGGATCCGTATTGCAAAAACAGCTTTAAGATCTGAAAGGTTGTACGCTTGCAGAGAGGAATACTGGATTTCAAGTTTTAATCTTTCTTTTATGTCACACAACTGTAAGGGTTCCCCACATTGTGGGGAACCTCATTTTTTCTGCCCTCTAGGCTTCTCAAACAGGTTGAAATATGTCTGTTAGCATAAAGGGAAGCAGCAACAAACTACAAACTGAAGCGTTTATCTATGCCTGTGTTCCTCTTCTCTCTCCTGCTTTGCTCAGTACAAAGTAAACAGCAAATCCACAAATGGAAGGGAGCAAAGATAAGCAGTTGTATTTTTATATAAATTAAACAAGAGAAACTTCATTTAAAAAAAAATATATTACCATTGCGAGATTTTTTCATTCAGAAATTGGAAGATAAAGGTTACAACTAAACTGTACTTTATTCCTCTCCCCCTTTTTTCCCCCCAATAGGGGCATCAGATTCTGTCCTCTTGCTTAAGTATTCAGAATTCACATACCTTCATAATCTCCCTGTTCATTTATGGAAAGGGTAAACACATATGGCTTGTCAGGATCTTTGTGGTCGATGTGTCTGAATATAAACTGTAATTGTTCATCTAAAGCAAACACAAACAGAATTAATTAACACCATTAATCTCTGCTGGAGAGTCACAACGATGACTAAAAATCACAATATTAAGCTACAGTTTCACTTAATATTCTTAGAACACATACAAGTTAATCAAACCTGGTCTCTTTGAAAGACAAGTGCTTTTTAACATACCATATTCTGCCATCTGAGAGACAATGGTTATACCTGGGCTGGGGCAATTCTTCAGTTGTGTAAGCTAGTGTGTTCTTCACTGCACAATCCAACATTAACCACATTGTATCACTGCACATGGAAACTGTGGAAACTTACTGTGAATTCTGCGTATCTCCAGTCCAAGCCGCTCTTCAAACAATACTTTAGACTTGCATAGCCGTTCCACTCTCTCCTTAGCGGCTTTGTTTTTAGAAGATATTACTAGAATATTAAAAGCCACCATAAATATCAAAGTAAAGGTAAAACAAGAACATACAAAAAAAGTTACAAGAGTAGAAAAGCCCATCAAGAGCCAAGTGTTGAAAACAATTCCTCCACTAATTAAGAAAATCTACTTGTTGCCCTTTGCTTACTTACTTTCCTTTTTCTTCATCAACTCTTCTTTAAGCTCTTGGATGCTGTTAGTCAAGTCCTTCTTTTGCTCTTCTTCTTGATTTAGGTTAGATTTTATTTCTGTCAAATGCTCTTGATTTTCTGATATGTGTTGGCTCTGCTGGAGAATCTCTGAAATGAGACAAGAAAATATGAACCTATACAGTTGATTATTAGGTCCCCCACTATTTAGTACTTATCTATATAGTTTGAGATGACTCGTTTGAATAAAATCTAGTGAAATGTATGCTAACTCAGCTGAAGAGAGAAATCAGCGTAACTATACTAACAGCATCAAATAAAAGCTTGAAGTGAAAGTTATTCAAAAGGGAAGCTACCAAATAGGGAGCTCCTCTGATACTTCAATCAGATGCAATTTGTTTCTGGTGCCAGAACTATATACATCCTCAAAGCAGGAGGATGGTGGATCCTGTCCACAGACACATAATTTGACAGAAAGCAAGGAATGGAAACACTGACTGATATTAGAGTTGCAATTATTTTTACCTGATATTCTTAAGTTTAACTACAAAATTCAGAGAAGTTAATCCTAGACTGATAGACTGACTGTATTCTATTACTAATATGGAAGAGGCATAAGTAACCTCACAATATTTAACTTTACTAAGCAATTTAATTTACTTTTCCTATTGCAGTCAGCAAGTTCTGGTACTTTGTTGTTTTAAATACTTAAGCACCAAAACAACTATACAGAAAGCTTTTACCCAATCTTTATCTTTTTGCATCATCAATGAAGTTTTCCAACAATTTGCTTTTGACTTGCAATTTACGTCCCGTAACCAACCAAATATGTTTGGTTTTAATTCTATCTTCATTCTGATGTAATTTACCTTTCAAAATGGGAATTTAAACGCATTATTCTGCTGTATTAAGTTAATTTTAGAAATGTTAAACACAATAAATAAAACACCATACCATACCATTGCTATACTCCTTAATTTTATCAATCATCAGGTCCCCTTCTTTCAGCTTCTTGGACCATTTCTCTGTAATGGAAAGTTATTTCAGTTATTTGAAGAAGTTTGATGATAACTTGGAAAAGGTAGAGGCAACAGGAACACAGAGCCTTTTTACCTGAAAGCGCTTTTATGGACTCCTTGCATGAATCTCTCAGTGCTAAAGTCTGATTGATCTGTTCAGTGCCATAAATGCTTTTTAATTTGGTCCAAAACTCTTTCATTTCTCTTTCAAAGAGGATTATTTCATCTTCTGTCTTTATATTAGCCATAGTGCTGCAACAAACATGTAAGTGAATAAATCCAGTGTCAAGACACACAAGACAATCGCAGCAGTTACAATTACAGGATAAACCTTCAGGGCAGTTTTTATCCTCTTGGCTTGTTATTAAAACCTTTTCCCGTAAGTCGTTTTTGTTGTCACTGTTACTACAACAAGCAGTAACAGCGGGAGCTACGTTTCTTGCGCTACTCCACCAGCGACGGGTTATCTGCGTCAGGAGGAGGCCCCGCCCTGCGCTGCGGATCGCCACAGTGCCGACAGCCGTTTCCAGGGTCCCGGCAGACCCCGAAGGCACCGCGCCCTCCTGCCCCCGGGGCGCTCCCCCCCCTTCGCCGTCCTCCCACGGGGGCTCGCACCGAGCCGGGGCCCCCTCCCCACGCTCGCAGCCCGGGCCGAGGGACGGATGGGGAGCTCCCCCCCTCCTCCTCCGCCCGACGAGGTGCTAACGGCGGACGGCCGG